CTCAGCTTTAGAACCTTGCGTCAGGGGCGGATCCAGGATTTCGTCAAGGGGGGGGGGGGCACGCATCATTGTGGGGCCCCCTGGAGTTTGGGGCCCGCTCCAAAAAAATATAATTGCATTTTGGTCATTACATCCTAAGACAAGTCGTATGTAACACACACACACACACACACACACACACACATATATATATATATATATATATATATATATATATATATATATATATATATATAAATACATATATAGACATGGCTATATATGCATGGAGGTACGTATATATGCATGTGTTTACTTGTTCATTTATTTCATAAATACGGAAACCCATCTTACTGTGCGCGGCCTTATAAAACTATGCGTGCCACACATGCATACACATGGAACTCACTCACTTTCTATTGATCATGTTGACCAACCCCTCACGTAAGACCAACGTCACAAAGCCTCATGACGACCAACGTGATGGGCCCATGAATCGTAGTGCCTCGGCAGGCTAAAATGTAAGGCCCCGGCCAGAGCACGGGACCCTCCAAGCGAAGGGGAATTATCCAACACCATGAATAAGTACCCCTGCGGGATCAAGAGTGCGTGGGCGGGTTAACAACACGAGCCTCGATAGGAGTGAAGAGTCCCTCGCAAATGAGACCAAAGGGAGAGAGCCCTCGATCAAAGTAGATGGCCCCTGAGCATCGAGTGTCTCCGTGCCTTACCTTAGCCTTAGCAAGAGCACAAGGCCCTCCACGCGAGTAGGAAGAGCCCGACACTTAAATGAAGGTCCCTGAGCGGCTGAGCGTGCCCTGGCATATGGTGCCTGGAAAAAGCGTAAAGAGCCTTTCGGGCGAATGGGGAGAATCCGCGGAGGAAAACCTGATCGATCAACAGAGCTCAGGCATGGGGCCACATAGCGTCGCAACAGCACATTGGGGCCTGGGAGAAAATGCAAGCGGATCAAGAGCAACGTGGAAAGCTCCTTAGCGACCAAGACGACCCGGCAAGTGGACATATAGGGCCAGGAAACCAACAGCGCAATGGCTCTAGACAGCGTAATGATCTACAAATGAGCCACTCCCTAGTTGATGGCCTGGTTACGCCCGTGAAGGTAACCTCCCTGCCCACGCAGGTCACGACGATGGGTACCGAACACCCGATGTGAAGACCTGCTAGTGTTTTCAATCATCTACCTTTATGACAACGTTCGACTGCACCCCAACCTCTTCGAGGGGTCCATTTCCCACATTTTTCGCAGAAGCAGGTTGTTTCCATCTTTTGCGTTTTACTGAGCAATTGTTTCCATGTTACGTACATGCTCATTTCGATGCTGGTCATTCCTGACTATCCGCTGTAAGAAATCCACCTTTGGCATGCATGTCGTCTCATGCCATTTGCTCAGTATGCCATCCTGTCTGTTTTACTCCCCAGGTCAACTGCAGGCACACATGGAGGCAGTTACCCATTGAAATTTCACAGTTTTATTTTCAATATGCTTGCCCTGGTTCGGCTCTCCCTGAAAAGTAATATCCATAGTATTCTCACGTATCTTTCCTTTCTTTAGGCAATCCATCGCAGCCTGCCATGGACTGGAGCGGCATCGTCAGCCCCATGGAGCAGTGCCCTGCGGAACAGTCGAAAGACGAAAGTGCCGTTCATCCAGCCACCCACCCATCGACAGGTCCAATTGAGGCACATGTCAAGCTGAAGAACTTTGTACAAGGTAGGTCACAGCTCCTCAACAAGTACCGTTGTATCACCAGACGGCAACGTATCAAAAAAAGAAACTCAAAGGCGTCATTCCGCCTGTGACAACAGGAGAACCCCTAAGACATCTGTGAGAGCTTTTTCTCAGAAACGTATTTGACTTTGCCACATATGAGGTAAAAGCAGCGGGATTAAAACATCACGGTCACCGCTACGACGACGAGGAGCTCACGTTCTGTCTGGCTCCAAACTATCATAGCGCCAGAGCGTATCGTCTACTCTGCAAACAGTTCGTCCTGTCCAACGTCCGCGTGCGGCGCCGGCGGATGGAGAACATCCAGATGCAACGAGGCTTCCAACAATGCGTCATCGTCATTCCCCCGAAAAACTGCGGCAGTCATCCGACACAGAGAAAATTATCGCTACCTCATTCGATGACATCCAGCTGAGGTCAAAGTTGACGTATCTCCGTGGCGCTGACCGTGTCCAAGACGTTGAGGACTACGACCAAATGGGAAGAACGTCCAGACTGGCAGACCATGCGCTTGTCTACATGGTGCGTGGCGTCACCAAGCGCTGGAAGCAGCCGATTGGCTTCTTTTATAGCGCCGGGTCGGCACCAGCAGACGTGCTTGAGACGCCGCTGAAGCAGCGCATCAGCCAACTTCAGAATGCAGAGCCGCGTGTCGTCAGCACCGTCTGCGACATGGGCGAGACGAACCAGGAGCTGCACAAAGAAAAACTGGACGCAACGGCGGACAAGCCGTGGCTCGATGCGGGCGGGCAGCGAGATTTTGCGATGCATGACGTGCCGTATCTTGGAAAATGTTTGCGCAATTGCTTGTACAAGCACAGCGTGGGGTTCGACGGCGAGCTATGTCTCAGAGCCACATCATAAGCTTGTTCGAGGCAGACAGCAAGCGGCACTTGCGTGCGGCGCACAAGCTGTCGTGGGTCCACGTGCGGCTCGGGCCCTTCGATAAAATTTAAGTTCAATTTGCGATGCAGGTTATCAGGTCACTCCGTTGCTCGTGGGATGCAGCTCTTCTCAGACTTCGGTGAGTCCAACAATTCGCAGGACTTGCCCCTGGCGTTAGTGGCTCGAGACTGGTCCTCCCACATGTCGAACCGTAACGCAGCTCAAATGTTATACGCAAAAATTGCCCACAACAGTCGAACTGAAGGCAAATTCTTCATTGCTCGATTCCTGCAGGCCCCCCATCTCTCGCTGCTTTTGTCACGTGCCAGGGTTCCCGCTGGCTGCGTCGTACGAACGCTCAGCTCCCCATGTGGTGCATTTCCACGTATTTAAAACAAGCATCGGACGTTTCCATGTTCTGTTGAGAATTTAGAAATGCATTGTTGGCCGTGAAGCGAAATAAAATGCACGACTTTTCACGGGTAATTGGTATCGTGGCCTGCATCGCTCTAACTGCACTCGGATTTTGCTCATGAGCCCATTATTGTGCACAGGAACAGCCGTGCAGCATTTGCGCTTAGGTAATGTGTGTGCATAGATCTTCTACACACGTGATCTTTGGGTGCGTTTCTGTCTTTCTCAGGTCTGATCAAAGAAAAGTGAGGGGGACCATTGAAGGGCTGAAGCGCCGCAACGACGCGACGGACGTGCTGAACAGCAGCAGCGTTTCTGACCCATGCGCGAACAAGGAGCGTTCTCGCGATCGACTGAGACGACCCACACCCAGCTATTGGAGGAGACGCGGTACTGGCTGCAGCGCTGGGTGGCGAGAGGCGGGACGTCGGTGGACAGCATCCATGGACTCCAGCTGACCATCAACGCCTGCATTCGTCTGTGGCAGAGGTTGAAAGGATCTGTAAAGTTCTTGTTCACCACGCCGCTGAATCAAGATTGCATCCAACACTTCTTTGGAGTGATTCATAAGCTGCATATCATGAGTCATCCCCGAGACCCCACTCAGTTCCGGCAGGGTTTCCGTACGTACGCGGTGAACGGATTCCTGGTGACCATGGATACTGCGGACCTGAAGCTGATAACCTCATGGCTATCATCGCGTCCATAGCGGCTTGTCCCGGCCGCCCATCTACGGCTACCAGTGTGCATTGCACCAGAGACTCCCGCGCCGATCATGGAGGTGACCACCGACGGCATCGATGAGAACGTTCTCTCCCACACTGGCGAATATTTGGTGACAAGGGACCGGGAGCGGCACTCGTGCGGACAGTGCAAGGCTGCGCTCGTCAGCTCCGGAAAGCTCGTTGACCGGGACCGGGGCGCTCTGATTGGGCTGAAAAGCTATACGGTATCAGCTACGATGACGTTGGGAGCTTGAAAGTGCCCTCCGAGGAGTTCTTCCAGTTCGTGGTGGTCACCTTCGAGGTGACGGAAGCGCGTGCGCCCGGCGCGCTATGCGGGCGTGGCGCGCTGCGCAATCTGCTCGCCTGCGTGGAAAACACGCAGCGGTACACAGCAGTGGCTGACCTCTGCAACCGAAGCAGTCTGACTTCATGCTGCAGACCTTCCGGCGCATGCGGCTTCATGAGCTATGTGAGAGGGTCGCGGCGCCGCCTGGGAAGGGTGCCAACAGGTGGAACCGGGAAATGCTTAAAGTATGCTTCCGTGCCTAGAGCTCAGCTGCGCGTAGGCTTTCGTCCCGGTAAGCCAGGTGAGGCTCCAGTCCCGAAAATCTCTCCTGGTACCGACCATTTCCGCCGCCCGAACCCTGAGTGATTCTGTGCGGCGGCATGGCATCACGCTAATTCGCTCCATTTCTCCTGACGCATCGTTGTCAGCACTTTTTGTGCTGGCTTCACATTTGCCGCGCTGTTTTACTATTTCACCATCGCAATTGACATTTGTCCACCTGCCTGGAATGATGTATAAATATACTGGTACTGACGACGCGAACATGCGACCGGCGGTTGATTTTGGGCACTGGCATTGTCGACAAGAACAACATCGGTGAGAAATCTGTCTCACGGCGTCTCGTGGCGAGCATCATGTATCACATATATCGCGTCGCGTTATTCCGTTTGCTGGACTGCATATCGTTACCTCTCGCTAGATGGCAGGAGGTCCGCGCGTGATCGCTGAGAACAATGACTAAACCCGAAAGTGGCCAATCCTTTAGCAACTTCATCTCTGCCCTGACGTAGTCTTATAAAATGCGTCGTCTATAAATATATATATATATATATATATATATAATATTCATACCCCATGCTCGAACGCGTTCCTCTCCCTCCAATTTTTATTGGAATGTTCCGCTGGCAGCACATTGCCGAATGCGCGAGGCCAGCGGAGGCCTAGGTGAGAAAATACGATAAACGTCAAAAATTGTCTATAATCCAACTCAGAACGTGACCTTGTGTATGTCATAGCTGAACAGGATGATCATAAAATTGCACTGTAACATGTTGATCGGCTGATGGCCTTCCATCAGGTCTGCTCTTCGCTTCATAACTCGACGAATCGACGCCGATCCGGTCTGAACAGACCAATGGCGGCTGATGAGAAAGACTGCACGTGGCCATTGCATACAATGTTTTGCGTCAGATCTAGAAACAAGTATACTGGAAACTACAACATACGACAAAGATATACGTTACAAGTACACGAGAAGGAAGGTAGAGCCACATAAAAAGGCGGCGGAATGACTGCTCATCCGAGTAAACCCATGGAGGGTCACCATCCTACGCACTCAACGATCACGTTAAACTGTCCACAGCCTGCAGGGAGTGTTTGAGAATGGTGTCGTGTCCTTGAAAAAGGAAGCGCCCGCGGAAGAGCTTCCGTTCGAAGACGAATGGAAACCAGTGTATGTCGTCAACCCACATCTTGTCGAAGGGAATGTCTGCTTCCTGGTACCAGGCCGGCCGCATCTCTGTCCAACGGGGGCACAACGGTGAGGTGCAGTCCACGATCGGCTACTCGGTCAATGAATTACCAGACAAAAACATATGTTAATCATACCTACACAGACTGAAAACATTGCCTACACACGAAAAGGGTGCGAGAATAATTACGGGGTAGGAGTTGACCAACTCATGAACATAAACTTTGCTGTTGTTTCTTGGGGTTTTCGGGCTTATAAATTGTGCATTCTTCTATTTTGCTTCTTAACACCGCCAATATCCTGCAAAGGAGGTACAAAAAAAACAAGATGTTCAAATATGTCTGTGCATCATGGGTGGAGCATTCCACCTCTTCGCGGAGGCTCGGGTCCCATTGCTTGCCTCTGCCCCCCCCCCCCCCCCCCTCCCCTTCCCATCCCGAAAATGAGGACATGATATGACCACGTCATTGAGCTGCGACAAACGTCTTAAAGTTATAGTTAGAGTTATAACCCAGCCACGTGATGTCGCGAATTGCTGCTCACGCCCGTTAACGTCAACAACTATACACAAGATGCCATTCATTCTGATGTTATTGCCCGACGCCCAAGATACGGAATACCGCGATGCGCCAGGCACGTGCTTCACCGCACCTTCCGTCTCCTGTGGCTCGCCGCTGAACTTCTCCACGGTGAACACGTGGACATCCAGCAGGCAGGGGTCGCCCTCGAACTCGAACTCGATGCGTCCGGCCGGCAGCAGCTCCTGAGCGCACAGGCCGCTCTCCTCCAGCAGCTCCCTATCCCGGACCGATGAGAGGTCAGCTCGTAAATTGTGCTCAACTGAGCCCGTCGCGGCAGACTACTTGTATCTGACTGTTCACGAAAAGAACAGCATATTAGGGGAACCAATGGGTAGGGCCCATAAAAATGTTTTCAAAATATTTTCCCTAAGAACGAAGAGAATGATGATTATAAGAAGCAGCATATAAAACGAACAGAAAGGGCACGCGAAATACGGCCTGAAGAAACTCATCTTCCGTACAATCCGTGTTACAGCCGCACATTTACGTGCCGGAGAAGTGCCCGACATACCAGTGTGTACCATACGCATCAAGAAATGCAACAACGTCCTGCATAATATTTTCCCTGCACTGAACCATCTTATCAAAAAGACAGCCTGCCTTCGTCCGTGGAAACTAGATAACCCGGAGCCAGCAGTCATCCAGCACAAAGTAGCATCTGCGGCACGCCGCTGTACGGCCAAGGCACGGCGTGTTGACATCAGCCCCCACCACCATCTCACTCCGCTCCACCTGGCCCTGCGTGAGGGACCTAATCGCAGCAGCGGTACGCGACGGCATGGCAGTGGCGCAGACCCTCACCGTCTGGCGCCCTCCTCCACTGTCTCGCCTGGCTCCACCTTGCCGCCGAACCCATTCCACTTGCCGGCGCCAAAGCCACGCTTCTTCAGGCCGAGCAGGACGCGGGAACGGGTCACGTCCCGCACCAGCACCAGCGTCAGCAGCTTACTGCGCAGCGACTGACCGGCCACCCCGGATGGCAGCAAGGTCAGAATTGGTGCGGTATTGTTCGCACCCAAGTTAGTTACTTTCTGAGCTCAAGTGCAGTAATGTGATCCTATTCCTAGGATGTTGCACACTAATATGTTTGCCACCATTTACACACATACCTTTACACAAAACCAATGAAAAATAATTTTTATCACAAGGCTACACATGACCAGCTATAATGGCTAGTACATGACAACAAAGCTGACCAACAGCATGTAACACATGACAAATATCCATGTTTGTCATGATTTGCTGCCATTCATGATGCAGTGCTTTAGTACTCATACAGCTTTAACTGTGTAAAATGTCTTCTACTGGCTCATATATCAAATCTCTGTCTCTTTCTTCTAAAAACATCAAGACATGCAGTGTGAATGCAAAAATGAGCCAGAGGTGCACTCCTATGCTGTTCTGTCACTGCTAGTATTCACTAGTGTAACAGAAGTACATAAATTTGTCACGGCTCCCTCACAAATGCCAAAATTTTGAAACATGCCCAGTTTGTTTGAATGTATCCCAGAATGTTCAAAAATAATTCCCTGTGACATTCTTGCCTACACTTTTTCTAAAATATTGAACAAGCCAATATCAAAAATTTCATCAGGCAAATTGTTCAGATTACCTTCTACACAGTTGCCCAAAATAGCAGTGCACTTAAGTCCTACACTCAATTTCAATTTGGTGTAGGTGTCTTTCAATTTTTGTAACTAACACAGACTTAAATTACACCTAGCCAACAGGTAACACTCCTCTCCATAACTTTGACCCCAATCCTGGACACAGTAAGCAACAAGTGGCCTAAAGCATCCACAGCTTTTTAAAATGATCCTGTTACATGCATATAGTACATTCATATTAGCCCAAAACATTTCAAGTATTTTCTTTTCTTTTGTCTACTAACTGATCTGTTGCTAATTTACTGTAAATAATGACATCTAGGTCTGATCTTTTTAGATCATAAAAGTTGGGCAACACTCATAACACATGGTGTGTTCATATCATCTTCCTATATAAGTACTTGCACCATCTTATTCCCTTGAGTTAACCGCTCAAATTATCTGCATACCATTTTGAATTTCATCTACTTCCTATATAAGTAGATGTACCATCTTATCCCCTTGAGTTGCAAAGACCTGTGTACCATTTTGAATTTCATCTGATGTTTCACTTAGATGCATATTCATAGATTAATTACGCAAATATACCAAAGGTAAAGTTGAATCATGTTTCCACCATTCTCTAAAAGCCCAATCCAAGAACTTCGCTGTAAGTCAAAATCCACTTTTTCCAAATATGCGGCAATGGGATATTCCAAAACCAGCAACATTTGTGCATGTTCACATACCATGGGTGTGATACAGAACAGTTTTAATCTCTACTTCTCCCATCTTGCAGTTAGACAGTTTCATGGCCAGGCACCATGTACCAATATTTTTGTTTTCATTGACACTGACATCTCTCTGTTATGTCCCAACAACTATAACTTCTCAAAAGTATCAGTTAAGTCCATCTCAGAACTCACTACTCAGTTATTACAGTGTCTTATGAGTATTTCACCCCTTGTAAGTATATCCGTTCACTTCTTTACATCACCTGCTTTACATCTAGTCTATATGAGCTGAAATTTGAGCCACAAAAATTGCAAGACACAACACTCCCTCCAGGGCCAATCCAAGCATAATATGCACTGCACCAGTCTTGTGGTGTCTGTGCTGCTGTTCAAGTGAATTTTGTACTTTCGTAATTTTTGCAGGAAGCAATGACAGCTATTTATTAATGTGGCCAGCATTAACTCCACTCCAAACTATCAGCTTAGATCAAGGAGAACAGCTCCAGGAAAGCGACCACAGCATTCCTTAAGAGGAAGTCAAAATTTGTCCCACCTCCTACGACTTGCGAACGAGTCCCTGACAAAAGTTAAGGATATAGCATGATCCTCCTGGCTCAAGGGGGCATGGCATTAATCCCCGACCCGTTGGCCGTGTTTGCTTCAGCCACAGGATAAGCACTTCACATGTGACATCCGCAAGAATGGTAGATATTTCTCAATACGCTCACCATTAAAAGAACAGTCAATCAGAGAAACGCAAACCCTTCCTAATCTACGCTTTGGGAGGCGGAGGTCGGAGAAATCAACACCCACACCGAAATCCCAATTTGGCGCGTGCCTCATTACGACTAAAACAAGGGCATTGCCCGCGGACAAACTGATCTAGGAGAACCACGGAGTTAATTTGTGTTAAAATTACACTGATCGGTTAGTAATAACGAACTGACGATGTGGTGATGGTATGGAAGCCTATCCAAGAGTCATACAACTCATAGGAACGCTCCGCGTTTGAAGATATGTAGGATCAAGAGGGGATATAATCAGGATTCACTCAGGGAGCCGGGAGCCAGGAGCCAGGGCCCAGTTGGATCGTGGAAGTCTCCACCATCATGCTAGCTGTCTAAACAGCAGAAATTACTCTCGAATTGTTCCTGGATGTGGTTTCCTGCAGCTGCACTGCTGAAAACAAGGCGTGCAGCGTCGCGGGCTGCAGATGCAACACACAGTGCCGGCCTTTGGCTTATAGACTACTTGCAAGCGTCAAGGAGAAATCGCATGCTATAGTTCTTGCACGAGCAAGCAGATGGACATCCAAGCAACCGAGGAGAGCTAAGTGTACAGCGACGATGACTACGCAAAATAGAAGAGGAATGTGACGGGTGCTGGAGGCAGTGCAGCGCGCAATGTTTCCTTAGATGTTGTGGCACTGCACGTGATAAGCTGTTTCTGCGTTTGACATTTGTTCTCCGAAGTATTGACCCATAGCCAAAACTGTTGCTGAGGGTGGCCAAATTGTTAATGTGTCTGGTGCCATCCGGGAGCCCTCCAAGGTGTATCATGCCGTTTTACCGATCACATCCATTAACCATCCAGCTCATGGTCATTGTAACTTTTGAAAATTTGGTAGGTAGACAGTTTTTGCCTATGAATACCATGGGGATTACATAATATTTCAAAGGCCCGGTTGTCACGTAGTAAGGCTTGACGTGCATGCAAGTACTGTAAGTGCAAGCAAGTAAAGATACCTGTAATTTCATAAAATACTCTTCGCTGAGTTTCTTTTATGCATTTTCGTTTTTATGTCAGGGTAATGTCAGGAGGTACATATCAGTGAAAATTCTCACTGCATGATGACCATGCCACACGTGATGTTTTTTCATGGTTCATTGATTAACCCCTGCCCTGATCCATTGTATTTTCATAACGCCGACTGATAGGAGGGGAAAGGGAGGTGGGGTAAATCGATGCGTACCCTTTCCTATGGCGTTTCGACATTAAGAAAGGTAAAGCCTCGCGAAAAGCAAGCAATAGCTCGGTCTCAACTAGATCTCGCAATTGGTAAAAAGTTTTATATTTCTATAACAAAGATAGCTCAAGAGTCAAATTTCCTGAAATTCGAAAATTTCTCAGCTTTACGTGTTTATATCTACGAGACCATACTCATTTGTACCACGAAATCTGCATTAGCATGTTTTTTTGTTGTTGTTTGTTTAATTATTAGTCAATGGTGTGCGGTTTTATTTGTAGTTCTATATTTATCTGTATTTCTGTATCTGTGTTTTATTTATTTATATTTATCTATATTTATCTGCATTTCTATAACAAAGATAGCTCAAGAGTCAAATTTCCTGAAATTCAAATATTTCTCAGCTTCACGTGTTTTCATCTGTTTTGACCATAAATTCATCACTTAGAGCGCCGTTGATGAACAATGTCGGTCCGTTGCCCGCGCCGTCCGTTGATTACCGTGCTGTGTTCCTGAAAGCAGCACTTCTCAGTATCCAAGAATGCTGGTGATACGTGTTTCGTGTCAAAACATGCGCAATAGATGCCTCAGAGGCCACCTAAAAAAGTGCTATTGCATGGCATACAGGAGTGGTATCGTCAGAAACGTTTAAAAGGGACGCTGTGGGCATCCCCTTATCAGGGTGAGGGTTAGAGGGGGTGTTTCACAGTTATATGAGATTTTGAACTGAAATATCCATCTTGAAGACCATTTGGCGCAGTTCACAGTCCTGCCCTTCTTAAGACCTAAATCTCTCTAATTTCCGAGCTACGTGCCCGGGAAAATGGGGAGAGTGTTTCAGGAAGAGCATTTTAAGGTCACCTAGCATGCATGACAAAATGGTGCCATTCAAATTCGGTCGTTTCATAAGCCATGGTGCGAGCAAGGTCGAGAAAATGTGATGGGCGATTCTTTCACATCTGGCGTTCGTGAGCACGATTTCCAGATATGACCGGCCGTCAACTGGTCCTCAGTTAAAGCTATGCGAGGCACGATGACATGATCTCACAATGAGGTATCGAGGAGCATTTTTTGTGCCTGCCCGTGACGCAGGGGACTGCCGGGGCTGGGTGTCCACCTGAGGAGGCTGTGGCCGCAAATCTTGCTGCAGGCCAAGCCACGGCTGGAAATCAGCCGGCAGAGGCCGAGGCTGCGAATCCCACGTCATCCCAGCCCGCGGCTGAACCGCCTAACGAGCCGGCAACAACAGCGGTGCAGACCCTGTGCCATATCCCGGCTCGCAGGTCACGTACACGCGGCCCACGTCGCCACTGTCCCTCCGTAACCTGGCCCGAAACAGTGACTCACTACCAAGTCCGAGTCCCCATTCGAATGCGCCCAGGTCTCGGATCCCAGTGTCTGTAGGGCAACCGTCTTCGAATGGTCATTGCGAACAGCGGAGCGCTTGAGTCAGACGTTATCCAGATCGATTTAGCACGTGACTGCGACAGCTGGGTGCATTACAATGATTCATGGTGTCTTTGTATGGTTCGTGTTAATATGTTGCCTAGGTTAGTCGCAATGATTTGACGGATATCGCTTAAGCGCCTTTCTTACTGTGCACGTTAAGTCAGGTTTGTCAAATATGTGCCCATGATGTCATGGATTTCTTTATTATGTCATTAATGAATAACTCAGCTATGAGGGCATTCTTCTTTTATGAAGGGTGCCTAGTATAAGGTGCCGGGGAACACCTATGTGCTAGCCAGTAAATGATTGCGTAGTTTGACGAGCGCGGTTTACAGGCACCTGCGTTCCCCTTCTCCTGTCCCAGGCGTCCCGTGCGAGGGACGCGGCCGCGGGGCCAGGAGAGGGGGTTACAAGAGGAAGACCTCGAGAGCCGCCGGCGCGGGGACGGACGCGCCGGTGGGACGGACTGTGTGGGTGCCTGTGGCGAGCGGCAAATACAAGAGTGACTTCGAAAGTACCGTGTGTACGAGTGAGCCGGAGGCCAGACACAGGAACAGTAGAATTTACACATATCTACTAAACAGAAAAAATTGGTGTCTAGAGAAGCTTTTTCTAATTAAAACCACTGGTTATAGGTGAGCTTGTTTCATCGTGTCTGATGGCCACATCAATATCTTTAAATGTGAAACATTCCTTTTAAGCTGTTATTGTGGGTGTTGATCGCCACTTTACTTAACACTACATCATGATGATGATTAATAAAGCCTCAGTACGCTTTATGAACATTGTACTTTGCTGAATTGGTTCCAAGATAGCGTTGTTGATGGGTGATACACATGTCAGCAAGGGCTGAGAATATCTGTCTAACACGCGCCCGGGTGGCCGGTTGGATACCCTTCGCTCAGGTAAGAGGGGCTCAATTTGGCCCCCTGAAATCTTAGGAACTAAAGAGCTAGAAACACCAAATTCACAGTGTGTGTTGGCCAATACGTGAACGTAGGTAGGTCAAAATATACGTACATACAAAATATACCTACGAATACGTAGGTCAAAGTTTAAGGTTCCTAGGCCATGACATTCAGGTCAAATAAGGCCGAAGGTCAAACTCCAAGTTGGTCTCCAAAGTGTTCCCAGAACCTCGATACCTGTCCTAAGCAAGAGTTCACATTATCATTTAAGGTCAGTGACCTTGTTTGATCTTTCAAAGGTCATGGTGGCCAAAATCATACAAGACTGCTTTGAGTTTTGCAGTTGAATAAGCGACAAAGATTAAACTAGGAAGAGCGTTCCCAAAGACCAAATTTTGCCCTAGGTGAATTTAGGTAAATTACCTATTCTGGACTATATATGAGGTCCATGTAAGATGTCAAATACGGTTCCTGTTATCAATAGATTCGAAATGAACACCAGAAACTGCCCCCTACAGCAAGCCCTAAAGAAATGAAATAGGTTGGCTTGACCTTGATCTGACCTTCATACCTGACACCAGGTCAACGGAATTTGGTCATTCAATTGCTGTGTTGCCTAGGAAAGTAATTCAGAGATGTATGGCTTCGTCTATCACTCATTTGTCGCATCAGATTGGACGATTCCCTGGATATTGACTTCGCCGAATCCATGGTCTGACTTTGACCTGCCGTAGATCAACGACCTTATAAGGTACCTCTAAATTTGTGATAGCGAACAATCCGCTTTTCAACTGTCTACAGCTTTGCAAAAGTTGGCGTGGCTACATTGCGCCGTTCAGAGACCATTCAGAAAAAAACTTCAGGTTGGACCAAACTGACCCCAGTCGAGCGTCAGTTTGGCCCACACTAGCATTTAAAAGCTTTCGATTGGTGCGAGCGCCTTGCCCATCCAACATCAATACAAATGGCTGCAATTTCAAATCAAGGTTCCTAAGACAATTGATCAGCTCTCGTTATAAGCTAGTCTGATTTTATGTCCAGACGAAAGATCGACATCCATATGTCGAAGTCTTTAAATTTAATCTATCCACTGCCGAGAGACAGCGATGAGCCCAGTTGGTCAGGGTCAGGCATCGGGCGCGGCATTTGGGCGCGGTTCGTCGCCGTACGACCCTGGTCATATCGGCTTACAAGACGACACGACTCTAGCATGGCCAGATCAACAGTGTTGCACCTGATGCCGCATACGCCCTGGTCGAGCTAACGGGATTGATGGCCTGGTCAAAAATCCCCACTTCGTTGGCCAGGCACACAGTAGCTTCGTTCACATGACTGAAACCTGCGTGACCTAGTCCCTAGTGCAGAGCCAGGTTGTACATTTGTCATTCAATGACGTCATGTATTCTGCGAAGTCAAATTAACCCTCCGAATGTTTTTCCAAAATGGTTTCCAAATGGCGGGGCGCAGCCACCCCAAATTTGGCA